AACATCTCGTCCTCAGGTCGTTTTCCTCAATCATCAGGTCATCATGCTTCTATCCAATCTAGGAGTCCCGGATGAAGTCTTTATCAAATTGCAGAACGACATGTTGGACAAACTGTCAGGTAAGAGGATGACGTCAAGAGATTCGAGTCAGAAAACGTCCGACTTAGAGAGGATGATCATTTAATTACATGGAAAAAGTGAAAAGTTGCGTTTTGAATCTGAGAATGTTTAAGCTGATAAAATATGGAGAGATGCGGTGTTTGCACCTTTTTTAACGTTATGTTTTGTTTCTGTGCTGGCTTAAACCACCCTATAACTATGCGTTTAATTACATGCTACTGAGTAGTACATGTGATAGTTACGCTAAATAGATGTTCGATAAATTCGTCACTTAGATGAAAGCTTTTTAAACTCTGCATTTTCATCTCGTGAAAATTGTCTATATTATCACAAAACCGTCCTACTAGACCACTGTTGCTGACTAAGTTGGAATTGGCAAAGAATAGAGTTAGTGTCCAGGCCTCACCTTCTTTCCTTTAATTCCGTCTGGTATAATAATCCCTCATATTACGCCTGTTTTTGTTCAAAGGGATGCTTGTGAATGAACGTGATGCTATTCAGCTATTGGGAAGTGGAGCCAAAATGGGCGTGTCCTATCACAATATTTCTAATGCAGGGATACCACTGACAACGGAGCCATTCTTTAAATCGCTGCTGGTCGCCATGTACCGAAATCATATGCACGAACTGCTTGCCCGAGCCCGCATTCGTTTGCCACCGGCGGAAGCACGCTTGATGATGGGTGTGATGGACGAGCTTGGTGTATTGAAACCTGGTCAAGTGAGTTTTTTAAAATTTTATTTTATTTTCAAGTTTTACTTTCTTTATTGCTCACCGTGAATCTGAGCCTGGTACGGAAGAGTCTGCCTTAATATAACCTCACAATAACGGCTATTTTTTTACAAATGGCCCTTGAAAACTGATTTTTTGAAATGAATACAAATTTAACCCCTTCGCAGCAGATTTACACAATAAAAACATCACATTTTGCGATCGAACTCCTCGCGAATTTCTGAACAGCTAAAACAATTCAGGGTTACACTGCCTGGAAGGTCTATATTATGCTGATGGTCAATTTTACCTACCCCTCCCCTAACCCAACACTACCTAACTTGTTTACACTTGAATGTTGTTGAACTCCCATAACATGTCACATCACATGACCGGACAAACTCTCCCCCCTCCCCCTCCCCCTGGTGCACTGGCCATGCAGGCCACAATGGGCCTCAAATCCTACTCGCAACCATCATTAGACCACTTTTGGAAAGATAATGATGATTTTGAGGAAGGTAAACAGTAAGTTTGCCTTTGGAATCTTTTGAAGAACATGTTTAATCTGTTTTATCGCGGTTATCAGGTTTTCGTACAGTATTCCGCCGTTGAAACACGCGCTGATCGAGATGACAAAGATGACGAGTTTAACAAGAACAAAAAAATTGTGCTAAGGGGACCAGTGGTGGTTACTCGGAATCCATGTTTACATCCGGGAGATGTACGTCAGCTCGAGGCTGTTGACGTACCAGGCCTCTGTCATCTTGTGGACTGTGTCGTTTTCCCACGTCAAGGCTCGCGGCCACACCCTAACGAGATGGCAGGTAATATGAATCACTTTCTCTTCCAACCTGACACACGTACACGCGCTTAAGTTTATATATATCTTGATTTATTTAGGTATATCGTGAAATGATCTAGTTTCCACTAAAGACAGCCTCCCGTACGAAGTAATGTGACTGAAATTTGCTTATTTATTTGCGATATTTAGACAGGCTGGCTCGGTTCAGCATCAAAGCTGGTTTAAATGGAGGTCTGTATAAACAGTAAAAATGTCAGACTACAACGCTGGAGCTACGTTCTCTTTGCGAGAAGTGCGTGGGTTCGTTAATGTCCCATTCTAATCAGCACTTTGAAGATGCAAAAGATAGGGCCGACGGTTTATGGTTCTTATCTGAGAGGAAAAGAATGTCTAACCATTTGCAGATGTCATGGGGAAGACAGCAAATTCTCCTCAGTTGTTTTTTAGACCCTGAGTGTTGGTCCGGTCCGTGGCTTTAACCCACGACCTTACGCACGGCAGTCCAGCGCTCTACAACATGAGCTAACCAAGCGAAGTTTTTTTTTTTCATAAGAATTCAAGCGAAATCTACGAAATTTAGTCATAAACAGATCAGATTGTGAATATTTGAACGCACTTCTAAATGCCCATTCTTATTTCAGGCGGTGATTTGGACGGCGATCTATACTTCGTTTGTTGGAATAAAGACCTGTTACCAAGGAAACCAAATTATCCGCCAATGGACTATCCGTCACTTCGTAAACTGGAGAAGACTGAGCCAATCACTACTCGCGACATGACAAAGTTTGTGGTGGATTACATCCGGTCTGACCAGTTAGGCGTTATCGATAATGCGCACAAGACGGTGGCGGACATTGAAGAAGACGGCGTGCAACATAAGGAATGTCTTTATCTCGCAGAACTGCACTCTTTGGCGGTTGATGCACCCAAAACGGGAAAATGGCCGAGTACTAAGGGTATTAGGAAGATAGAAAAGCGTCCTGATTTCATGATGAAGAGCGATAAACCAAGTTATCCCTCTGAAAAGGTTATAGGAAAGCTCTTTCGGCGCTGTCGGAAGTTTAAAGATGCTACGTCTGAAAAATACGATCAAAACCTTCGTTTGAACAAGTCTCTCTTGTTGCCAGGTAACGACATTTTCGTTGAAAACGCCAAAGAAGTCTATAATTGGTATCGTGACAAGATGGAGGGCTTGATGCGGCTGTACGGCATCGAAACTGAGGCAGAAATCATCACTGGCTGTTTCATGAAGCTTCGGAATCGCTTGCGCAAAGAAAAAACGGAAATTGCCGAACTCGTCGGCGAAGAACTGTTCGCAATACGCTCGTACCTCCGTCGTGAATTCTTTTATGAATTCGGGAGCGATGGACAGTGGTTAAAAAGCGATGTGCTGATTTCGGATGAGATGCGTTTAAAAGCCTCGGCTTGGTACAGAGTGGCCTACACGTTTGCACATGATCACGGTAATGGTTCAAACCCAAGCAACGAAAAGAGGCTACTCGGTTTTCCCTGGTTTATTAATGACATCATGCTCGCCATCAAAACGCGAAAAGATCGACCCAGTCAGCCCCAGGCCTTAGACGTTAGCGCAACCGTAGGTCAGAGTCTTGTAAGGTTGTTTCACGAAGAGAAGGACTGGTTACTTGAGGAGTTCAGAGCTCGAATAAGAGCAAAGAACGTTATATGTCGTCATCTGCAGGCCGCTGAATCCACTTCTTCAATGAGTATCGTCGGCTCTACTGCTACGCTACTATTTCACAAGACTTCAGATCTTGATCTGTTCTTTTTACCTCAGGATACACAGGCACGAAGCCATCATGCCCTCCCTGAGGTACCACCAGAAGAAAGTAACACTTTAGTTGAGGAAGGAGCGAAAGTATTGAAGTCGTTGATTCCTTTCTTGAAGGAGGAGACGTCAGAGCAACAAGAAGAAGAAGACGAAAACGTTAAAAATCTCTTTTGGAAAGTTCGTCTCGTCAACAAAAAGTCTTTCCCTGTAAGTATCACATTGCTTTTAGTTTCACCATATCCAAGGGTGTATATCTTTACTACGACTTGTGGTAAATATGATGTAGGCGACTTAACTTATGCTGTAGCGTTAGTATATGTTGTTCACATGTGACTTCGTAAACAACGACACTGTTGAATTAGTGTTACGATAGCTTTACCGACGAAACACAGCTCCAACCATCAATTGTTGGACGATTGTACGCTAACCACGCTTTAAGAAGAGTCTTCATTCGCGAAAAATTGATTAAAAAGGGAAAATGATAACAATTAAGAAAAGATCTATTTTCCACATTCTTCTCTTGTCTAATTAGGGTCTTTAGCACACTCTTCAAATCCTGACACCGCGCTTTCCTTCGCATCATTTAAATTGGATTTTATTTTCACCCAGGTCCTCTCATGCAAGCAGCCAACAGTGAACCTGATAAATGGCAGTAATTGCTCTCCAACCCTTAATTGCGATCTGAGTTCATCCTTAGACTGTCTAAGAATGGCCGCTTTGCTGTCAAGCTACATCAAGTCGTATCCTGATCTCTTATTAGTGCTCCGTGCTATACACCGATGGTGTTGCGTGACAAGGTTGTCACGCAACGCAGCTGGCGCTGGAAACACTTCAAACTTGCTCTCTGCCCTTCTCTTAGCCCAATGCATACACAACATGCAGATTAAAAACTTTAATGAGGAGCACGTTTTAGAAACGATGGCACGCCAAATGCACGGTGGCGCAAGGGATGGTAAGCAGTACATGGAGTTGGAAAATGTCATAGGATATCTGGAAGCTTACCAGATCGATTCCCAATTCCCTCAGGTAGAGCCCGACTTCGCCCAAGTTGGCCAGCTTCTGGTGACCTTTTTTCAATCACACGACTCGTGTTTTGAAAAAGAGCTCCCGCAATCGCTCGCACGTCTTTTCGGTGTACGAAAGCTCTCAAAGCTTCTGGGGAAAGATCATTTAGTCCTTGTGAGAGAACAAATGCAACGCGCCTATCAGCTCCTGGCGTTATTTGGAGACGCACAGATCATGTTAACCATAAGTGGCTCCGAAGATTACAACGTAATATTTCTTTCGCCACTTCTTTCCTCGTTCATAGCGGGCGTTGAGAAAAGTAAAGCTCAAGAAATAGCG